ACTGTAATGCTATAAGTTGGACCAGAATAGTGTCCACTGGTAGGCAGCAGATGAAGGAGAATTGGGGTGGGGGGTCAGCCATATGGTCCACCTAGAGGTAGCAGGAAGTGAAGCCGGGGTAGGAACAGATTCCACTGAAGGATACGATCCAGGGAGACAGATGGTCATGTAGATGAGATGTGTGTGGGAATCGGGCCAGGGAGACAGTGCTACAAGGCTCCATCTCTCGGCAGAGCTCTGAAGGCAATTTCCAAGAAAAACGGGTAATGCTCATTTTCTTTTTGCATATGTATTTATCCAAAGCAACATATGATTGAGAATGAAGAATCGGCAAATCCCTGGAACAATTAGGGGTTAAGAGTCTTTTGTAGGGTCCCCAACAGTGAAATCACACTGCTCACGCTGACCTTTAAACTAGTAACCTACTGGTCACAGGCACAGTGTCCAAACCCGCTGGGCCAGACGCTGTGACTTTGCTTGGTACTTTCGCACATTTACCACAAGAATAAAATATAAAACAGGTGAGACCAGGCAGAGCTTTAAGTCACAACGCCATTAAGTAAACCATTAAACAGCTTAACAGATTAATAGATTGCATTGGCGGCCTGTACGGACTGTTAAAAATCATATGCTGTTTTTTTCACCCTTCAACATGGAAGAAATACTGCTTTGAAGCCTGTTACAGGGATTATCGTGCATTGTCAGTCACTGTCTGAGTGAAGGCAAGCAGCTCAGTAATGGGAGTTAAACCAATCAGTGACTGGCTAGAATGGCTGACTTCACACTTTCTGAGGACTACCTCCCTGGGTGAGGACTCACGGCCCCAGCGTGTGTGCTGGACATTGATGCCCTCAGAACAAGATCCTGATACATTTCCTTCACTGGTACTGGAGCCTTGGTTGGAACTAGTGGAGAAGTAGCAGCTGGGCCTTTGGATCCATGGAAAGGGAGCTGCAGCCAGAGAGCGGCTGCCAGATGGAAAAGGCTGATTAGTGATGGATAGATGGATGGTTGGATGGACAGATCCTCGAAGTTCAATGCACATGGTGAAACAGTGCCACATAGTGGTAGATGTGTGCATACATGTCTTACATCACTGGCATAATTTCAGCTACATAACTTTTACCAAGTAGTGAAAGAAGTGTTTCTGTTTCATTAAGTTACCTATCAGTTAGACTGAGGCATCAAGCCTATTATGCAAAACCTTCTAAACAACATGGGTGAATTTACATTTTCCAGCTTTGGCCCTTGGTGCCAGAAGGCTTTGAGTCCTGGTTCTCTGCCTCATGTCATATCCATCCATTTTCTGTAAGCACTTGTCCTATTCAGGGCTGTGGGGGGGGTCCAGAGCCTAACCTGGATACTATGGGTGGAAGACAAGAAACAACCCAGGATGGGGCACCAACCCATCTCAGGGCATACTTACACATGCACAAATATGGGCAATTTGGTAACTCCAATTCACCTTAGCATGTTTTTGGGATATGAGGGAAACCTCGTGGCGACACAGGGAGAACATGCAAGCTCCACACACATGGAGACATGATCCCTGGTGCCAGAGGCGTGAGGCGACAGTGCTGACCACTGCACCACCGTGCTGCCCCTCGGATCATACCCACCTCCTGTAGTTATATCTTGATTTGTGACTTGTAAGATCATCTTTGAATAAGTTCTCTGGAAACTGAAGGTAATGGCAACGAATTAGTTGCTAAATGAGCATTCCAGTCACACTATGTTATAATACTGTGGGTGTGGTCCGGTGCCCGTCTTCTCACTGAGGGCGTCTGGGCGGTGCCCGTCTTCTCACTGAGGGCGTCTGGGCGGTGCCCGCAGAGGGCATTTTGGCAGCGGCTTGTCTCAATCTGCTTGCATTAGACAGGAAGTCAGAGGGAAAGGTGTCATCGTGTACGTCCACTGTGGACAAGAGCACATACTCCGACCATGACATCAGGTCCTCGAAGCTCTGCTCCGAAGCAGCCACAAGCAAAAGCACCAGTTTTTGGATAAAAACCTACAGATGACATTTCACTATGTCCTGGCCTGGGGAAACAGCATTCTATTTGATGCTGACTCTGTCCAGACAATGCATTATACTGTGATATTATTTTACAGTACACTATACTATACTAGGAATCTATACAGTCTATACTACACTATAGTATACTAGGAATCTATACAGTAGTGCTATTATGCTCATTCTAACAGCCTGTAACAGGTTAAAAAGAGACTGAAAGTGTCATTTCATTTCATGGCTGAAAGTATCTTAAATTTCACATGGGACATTTTACGAGCTTCCCCGTATTTTCTCACGGCGCCAAGGACAGACGTAATTCAGACAGACAAGGTGAACTTCATATCTTTTTTTTTTACTCTTTAACCTAATAATCATGATGTTTAACGATAAGGCTTTAAAATTATTCTCCTGGAGTAGAGCACCAACTTGCATAAAATATTTAGTTGATGCTTTATACCTAGTACTTGTGATTCACTGAAACAGTTTATTCAACATTATAAGGTACAACAGATGATCTGTTTATCAGCTCACCCCATCTAAGGTTACTGTACCAGTTATTTTCAACTTGCTATCCATGACTAAACTGAATACAAGATTAATCTAAAATAATTGTTTCTTATGGTAAACTACTAATGTACTTTTGTATTCTAAATCTGTAGTCATCTACGCTTAGCTTCCGCTGTGATTTAACCACCGTTAACCACACCCCACAAACTACGAGCATTGGAACAGGTGCTAATGCAGCAGGTAAGCTTGCCTTGAAAGAGATTACTGTCCAACAAGTACTCCAGGTTTCAGGGCTACATTGCACTTCCTGCCATCTCACAATGCTTTAGGAAATCCAAAATACACCTACTGTACCAGTGAGGTCACATGTGTGTAGGTCACATCCTCGGAGAATACAATAAAACACCAGCTGGGTTAAAAGCTCTTCCAAACCTTTGTGCTTTTCTGAAAGGAATTGTTAAGTTTAATCTTGGACTGGGACATTTTTTTTTTTAAGACGCACAAGTCGTTATGGCGACCAAGGCTGATAGCAGCTTGAAGAGTATTACAGGAAATGAGGAAAGATAAAGGAAGCGGAGTTATGAAAATGCGGTGGCTTGCTTTATGAAGACTTTCTCCATACGATCGGTAAGCTATATGCCCCAGATCCAGAAACGCTCCCTTCCATAGCACTTACCTGCTGACTTGGGATGGCTGAGTGCATACGCGCTCTCAGCTGAGCGGACACATGCGCTGATAAGCATCTCATTTCCTCACCTTTTTCACACTTTGAGCCCTATAGTGTCTGAAAGGGCTGTTGCCTCCTATTGTTTTGTGAATTTTAATGCCCCAGGAGAACACTGTAATAATCCTGACAATCACAAAAAAGCCTTTAATTAAAGTGCACTGAACTGTTTGCCTAAGACCTGAGGAATAACAGGTACACACCATAAACCTATATAACTGTCTTGTCACATTTAGCAGCCACCTGAACCAGCATTTGCGTGAATGTCACCAAAAGCTTCATGCTTGATTTAGCACCAAAGTCACCTCTTCCTCAGTGGGACTCTGCCGCTCACGAGTCTGTCACGAGTCTGGCATTATACATCCTGACACCTTTGCTACACTATTGCTTAAAAAGTACCACAAACTAAAAATATTCCAGTTACACGTTGGGACTGAGCGCTCTCATTCATTTCAGATTTTAACCAAGCAGACGAGGCTAATTATGGCCATTCTAGAAGCTTCCTCTTCACAGAAGTACAAGTTAAGTGGAGGTATAGAGTGCCAGCATTTAGGTTTCAGGCGTGTGAAATCTAAAACCAAGCTATGGGTTCTCTGCTCATACCATACTTAGCAACTCTAGCCAGTGACTAATCCAGTGTAAATCTGATGGTCTTAATCAGATGAATGGATAGACTGGACCATCTTCCAAAGGCGTGGACAGTGACAGCTGTAGGTAAATAGATGAGAACGAACGTGAAGTTCGGGGTAGGTTCACCAGACAATGAACGGCTGGACCAATTCAGTGCAAATCCAATGCGATGCAATGGCCATTTGACCATTCCCACCCCAAGAGCTTCAGACGTGTTTCTCTGCAGCGGAGAAGGATCAGCAGCAATGCTCACCCCCGCCACCCCCAAAAAAACAAACAAAACAAAAAAAACTCCAGAACAAACAGACTGCAAATCAGGTATGAAACAAATCTATCAAAATATTGGACTTACAAAATATCTAGATTGGCTATGAAAACAGGATCAGACTCAAGTCTTTGGAGAATTCAAATGCTTTCTTTACAGTCAAATGAAAGACAAGACAAAACAAAACAACGTGCTACCTGTGACTCACATTTCGAAGGCTGGAGGCCCCACTGCTGGCCCCGTTTGGCCTGGGACGATGCAGCAGGGCGTAGAGGGAGACTCAACCTGCCCTTTAAACAAACACGCACATCTCCACCTCCAAAGCCTTCATTTCTCTGAACAACACAAAGGGTCAGATATCACTGCCATCAGGAAGTAGTGTTATGGTGATGGAGCAGGGCTGCGACACCAGAGGTGGTTCTGGACCAAGACATCAGCTTATATACTACCCTGTAATACTGATATATCAGTATTAATCAAGGCGCTGAACGACGGGGATTTTTTTCCTTCTCCCTGTACTCTGTGAATGCTTTACAATTTACCTGGATTTGGGAAGCACTGTCCCTATGCCAAGACTTAAGATTTTATCGTGAGATTTCATTGTATTTTTAATGCCAGAAATTGCAAAATTTAACAGCCAGAAAAAGCAGATGATCCAAATGTAATAAATATGATGTCTCAATTTAAAGCCTTATGTGTAACTTAAAAAAAAAAGATTTCAATTATTTATCAAGTTAACTTATGGTGAGGTAGAAAGAGGAATAAAAAGATTTCTAACTGGTTAGTCTAGATGTTTGGTATTCTATTATACTGAATGCTTACAATACAAATATCTAGTGTTTACACAGATAAGCCACAAGTATGTATATAAAAAGGATTTATTTAAAGGGCTCACCAACAAGAAGAGGAAGCTTCACCAAATTATGTTTTTTTTGTACAGATGACACACAGTTAAGTTCATACGCAGGATTAGAGGATGAGAATGATCAAATCAGACAGGCAACAGCCACTCCGACTGCAGGGGTAACAATACAGCCCAGTATTAGGAACAGTAATGAAAGAAAGCAAACCCAAATATCAGGTCATGCTCAGGGTGTTTATATTTGTCAGAAAAGCCTCTAAACTTACATATTCTGTCAACTCTGTGTTGGGGATTCCTGCTTGTTAAGTACAAAGCATTTAGATTCGACTTTAATACACATTCGGTACAATCAAAATTAATGAAAACATCTGCTGCTATCAAAATATAGAAAACATTTTGGTCACTATTTACAACAAAAATAATACCCAAACTTTCCAATCAGGGTCTGTTTTGTGATGACGGCAGGCAGCTGTTACAGGACGCAAGCGGGATTGTCCGTGCGGACTGACTGAGCGGCTCATTTTTCCAGGCCCAGTAACAGCACATCAAACACGCAGGATGGCCACACAGGAAGAAAGAAAAAAATAATAATATAAAAAAAAACAAAAAAAAAGAGCTGGAATCGGGTGAGTTTGGGAAACCAGCCGTCCACACAGTGCAGAGGAACTCAATCAGGCTCCTGGGATTTTTAACATACCCACCCATCAGCAACTTGCTTACATACTTAGGCAGGAACACAAAATATAATAATAATAATAATAATGATGGAATATTGTCCATTCTGACCAATGAGCACTGTACATTTCTTATCAGGGTATATGAAAAAAGGAAAGCAACCTTGAAGAGAAAAATAAAGCAGTAAATTGACTCAAACCCCCCCCCCCCCCAAAACCCATCCACCGTAAGCTAAATTGGGCCTTTCCCCACTGCAACATGAAAACAACACACGGTTAAAATAGGCAGATGACCAATGACAGGCCCGACAGGCCTAGTCTTCTTCCTCATCATCATCATCATCCTCTGGATCCCTTTTCCGTTTCTGTCCTCGCTCTTCTTCTGAAAGAGGGTAAGGTGAAAGAGAGGAACATCACAGAACAGAAATTGAAAAAATAAATGAAGCTTTAACTGTTGCGTGTTTCTCACCCCATCTTGCTCTACACACACACACACACACACACAGGGCAGATTCAGCATCAGCTGTCCATCTAGCACAGGGGTGTCAAACTGCAGTCCTGGGGGGCCGCAGCCCTGTGTAGCTTAGTTCTTTCCCTGTTCCACCACAAATGATTCAGCTCAAGAGCTGTGTGTTAATCAGCACAAGGAGTTGAATCAGGTGTGTTAAATGAGGGGAAACCCAAAAATGTGCAGGGCTCTGGCCCTCTAGGACTGGAGTTTGACACCCGTGATCTAGCACACCTGGAATATTTTTAAGTGGGTTAAGGACCATGATTGGAACCCCTGTGGAAATGCAGCTATTCTGCTGAGCATGACACTCAAACCAGCAACCTTCTGATCACTGACACAGGCCTAATCTACTGAGTCACTCCGTGGTAGTGCCTGACCCAAGTTCCTGTCCCTACATAAACACCGAGAACAATGAGGACAGAGGGATTCATGCAAACATACAGGGTAATTTAATCTGCCCTGCTTACCATACTCATCCTCCTCTTCGTCTCCCTCGCCATCATTCAGCTCCTCCTCCTCTTCCTCCTGTGATATTGAAACAAGTACCTTGGGTCAATGTTATGACAATCCCAGGAAGCACAGGGCACAAAGATGGTGTGCATGGAACGCCAGTCCATCACAAAGTATGCATCCATTCTATGGGTAATTTAATCACACCAATAAGCCAAGCTGCATGTCTTACTGTGACACTAGATTCTAGAGAGACTGAGCAGAGGACACACTCAAACTCCCAAACCTTGGAGACGTGAGGCGAGATCGCTAGCTTCAGAAACATCGTACCGCCTTAAGTGATGCATTAGGCATCAAAATGCACTTTGATGCTGAACTGCAGTCTTTGCATTTTCCAAATTATACCTGCTAACCAGATGGGTTTACCTTACCTCTTTACCAGGAAAATACACCCCTTACACCTCTGGCAGACATTTTGCCCGGATGTACATTTTCTAAAGATCATGAAACACTTGTTTCTATTTCCCCATCTATGTAATATTTTTTGTTTTGAACCCCCCTCCCCCAACACAATACAGGGTAGGCAAATAAGCCATGCAAATGTTATCATGAACTAAGGGCTTCAAAGGAAGACAGTACACAACAGAATGCAGGAGACTCCCTTAAAAGAGAACACACTCATTTGTTCAGAGGAAACAGTTGTGATAAAGTCCATCATAAATCTTACCTCTCCACTGATGTCTTCTTCCTCTTCTACTTCTTCCTCACCATCTTCCTCATCCTCGTCTCCTGGAGCTGCTTCTTCATCATACTCCTCTTCCTCCTCCTCTTCCTCTACTGCTCAAGGCAAGAAAAGAACAAAAACAGGGCTGAAGCGAAATGTTACAGCCCCCTTGAAACTCGAACGAATCCTACAGGAATGAGTGCGGAGAACAAGAAACCAACAGCTCCCCAAGCAGTCATCTGATAAGGTGCTCAATCGGCGTCTTATAGTAACAAAAGTGTATAATTAAATATTAGATGACAACGTTACAATACATTTCAACATGAGAAAATGTTTTCCCTCTAAAGCAGAAACTGAATGAGCACACATTTTGCCATGAGAGACTAGGATCACACTAACTGACTTGAGATCATTTCTCACTCAGCAGTCCTAGCCAATAACATTAAAAGATAAAAAAAGTTTGTCTTGTCCAGTGTGGCATTACCCAATCACCTTGCAGCATCTTGTGTGGGTGTGGCTACGCTTCAAATAAAGTTTAGAGGTGAAGATGCGTAAACACTGATTTACAAAGGTGCTTAAGGGCACATGCTCCCCCAGGGCCCCCCCAGCACATACCCTCATCATCATCGTCATCCTGCCCCCCATAGGCTTCTGTGTCAGAGTCTGGCGCCTCTTTGTCCTCTCTGTCATAGCCGTCCAGGTACGTCAGCTGAGGGATCAGCTTGAAGACATTTTCTCTGTAGTCGCTGAGGTTCGTCACCTCGCAGTTGAACAGGTCCAAACTCTTCAGACTTTCCAACTTTTTCTGCAGGAGCAGCGAGACGGCCACCATTAGTTGTGAAGGTGGGCTATGGTTACTCTCTCTGTCACACACAGACACAGGAACCTGAACCCCCATGTTCAACTCACTTACCAGGGGTTCGATGGTGCTGAGGTCTTTGATTTTGTTGCCACTGAGGTTGAGATGGGTGATGTTTGGACACTTTGCTGCCAACACTTCTAGACCCCCAGAGATTCTGTTATCACTGAGCTCAAGCTGCAAGAGAGGACCCAACATCACTACAAGCCTTGTGAAATTCAGAACTCAAAGAATAAATGAATTAAGGGAACCAACCCTCTTCAGCTTGCTTAACGTTGGCAGGTTTGCGATGGATGTTAGGCCTACGTTTATCGTGCTCAGAAATTCAAGCTCTTCAAACTCGTCTGTGAGGCCCTCGATTTTTCCTTCGTTCGAACGGCAGTTGTCTAGAACGAGTTCCTTCACCTAAAAAGAAAACAGGATATCGATAACCACAACATGCAGTCAAGTCGCACAGATGTTATTCTGTAAAACCAACTTCACAGGGAGCTTTACCAGGAAAGTTTGCAGTTTGTTAGCAGCTTGAACGGTTCCATGTCCTTTGAGTAGAGTGCAATGACCTACCCTGTTCAAGGGCTAATAAAAAATAGCTTCTCCATTGGCAACAAACGACGAAGGGCATTAAAAACAATAAGATCTGGACCGTTTCTAAAAATTGAACGATTTATGGTAATCAATAAAATTTCTATCTGCCCTTTCTAAGGCAGCATGTAGCATAGCAGATTAGAATGTGGTGCCTGAGATCAGAAGGTCAATGATTCAGATCTTATGCTGAAGGGCTCAGAAGTGTGACGTCACTCTTCTGAGCCCTTGAACAAAATTCTTAAACGCCTAAGACTAGTTAACCCTACTTCCTCCAAAAAATCATCTGCTAGATTAATGCAATGTTAAGTGTTTCCCTATGAAAGAAAACAGTTTCAGTGTTGGGGTCTACATAGGTCAGATCATCATAGGGCCGCAAACGAAACTTTACCACCATTCGAGGGCACATTAAAGAAACACATTCAATATGATTAGAGCTGTCACTATTGAGTATATCGCCAATCGAGTAATCTAATGGTGAATCTGACAATTAATCGCATAATCATTTATATATGATGTAGGCATTCCAATTCATTATGCTGCATATTTTTGGACAGTGGAAGGATACTGGAGGATCTACCATAAGCCATGTACATACAGGGGAAACATGCAAACTCCACGCACATAGAAGGGTGCGTACTCACTGCATTTCATGCACATCACAACCATCACATCACAAGCACTGCAATAGTGGCAGCGTGTGGCTCAGTGGGCTAAGCCGTGTGCCTGTAATCACAAGGTCGCCGGTTCAAGCCCAGCCTCAGCATGTCTGCGGGCCCTTAGCAAGGCCCTTAACCCCCAGCTCCCTGGGTGCCGCTACAGGTGGCTGCCCTTCGCGGACAGCTTGCTCTACAAAGAGCAAGTTGAGGGAGGCGTAAAAAGAATTTCCCCACGGGCATTAATAAAAGTGTACATTATTATTATTAGTCTGATGGGTTTAAACCATCAATAGGTTGCGCCAAAACATCTTTACTCCCTCATAATAAGCAAAACTTTGCAATTTTAATAACAGCCCTTTTTCAGCATTATAAAATACCCACATTTTCTATTCCATAGACACAATATTGAGCAAAAGCAAATGATTTGTTGGCACTCCACTGTGTCTGTTGGCACATCTCATGGCAAATGCCACAGACTTATTTCACAGACACTGTTAGTACATAAGTTCTATTTTCTATAGCAGAAACTTCACATATTGCAGTATGGACTTTTTCCCCTATATAGTTCAACCTTAAATATTAAAAATAATACCATATTATGTAATGGTGCAGCAAAGCAATCGATAGGGCTAACTTCCATTATAACAGCAATTTATTTGACATACAGGAATCATGGAAAGTAAATGAAACAAAATGATTTAAGTCGAAGCGATAAAGGTTAGGTTAGTCCAAAAAGGCAAAATGGCACATATCCATCTAACCTGAACATCATCTTTTAAGATGCATTTTCATTGCAGTCCTACTGTAGTAATATTTATGTTCTGCTTTGCAATACTGACAGACGACTGCAATCTCAGTCACCTTTAATGAGATGTGCTTCCACACAACTGATGTTTTCACCCTTCATTTGGACCCTTGTCCGCCATGTGCCGTCTTCCGTCTGCCATATTGCCAAGTAATTGAGAAATATTTTAAATAATCGAGTTTAAGCGCCTAATCGTGATAAAAACTCCAAATGTGGTATGAAATTAACACCAGCGTCGATGCTGCTGGACTGGGAGCAGGGATTCCAGAAGGTAAGACTTAGAGACAAGACAAAGGGCAATTGTAAACCAATGACATATTGTATATACCTACTTTACACGAGAAAAGTAGTGAGCTTTGTGTTTCCTTTATAAAAAATATGTGGAGGGTCCATAATTTGCACATTACAGCTTTTTTTGCATCTATGTATCTACTCCATGCACACCTAATTTCTGTTTCTAAATTTTATTTTACATTTGTTTCAGTACATAACTAAATATTTGTTATTTTTTCTTTGTTTGCTGTTGCAATGCCTGAATTTCCCTCTGGGGCTAAGTATGTGTCCATCCATCCAATTGCTGTTTATCTGGATGGGGATACATTAGAGAATAGAGAATGAATAGTTTGGTTAAAACTTGCAAGCTGTTAGGTATTGCACACAAATACATGAAACGTATACTGAAAAGTCTAAGGAGAAAAATATCCAAAAGCCAATGACCGCCATAATTTACTTTTCATGATCCATCCATCTAGGATGTAAACTACACATTTTCAACAACACGGCGTGAACTGGTGTTTTTAGATGTGATGAGATGCTTGGCAACAGATTCACTGGTGTTGTTTCACAACAGCAGCAACAACAATGCAAAACTGTACATAACAACAGTAACTATTAAATGCAGCCAAACATTTTCAGAGATAATACAAGAATTTCAGATCAAAAACAGTGTCATATTAAGAAGTAACCATGGAAAACGACCCGATTGCTGTGTCAATCTACCCCAAGATGGAGCAGGAGAGTCAATGTCCCAATGCGGCATTAGAGGGAGACAAACACGAGTTACCCCAATCGCATGAAAGGCGTTTAACTTTTGCGGAAATTGTGTTCATTTTAAAAATGTATATCTTCCGAGGACGGCCCACATGTACAGGCGGATATGTGAAGTGTGATTTTACACGACTTCAAAATATTTTAAAATTTGCATAGATCATTGCCCGATATGGTAATGAATGCAGATTACGAAGGTAACAGCAGCACAGTTCACGGATAATGTTAAACTGTGCAGATTTTCATGCACCGGCGAGGTACCGAAATACCCGCTTTGACGCGTCCCTGCACCCCCGCATCTTCCATAAAAACAGGGAATCGCTTCATAGACTCCGGTCAGCCTCTGCAAACATGCCTATGCCCGTAAATCAGCACGGTTCCCTATTTTATTTATCAAACCAGATATGATCCAGCGAATAACATCTATTTTAATCTATATTTTATAGTCGCAAATAAAGGTAGTTGCATGCATGCTGGGCGAAGCACGTCTCTCACGGACACCGGGCTCCGGCTCCCGGCACCCCGAACATGATGGGGGAAGCCGACGGCGCCCGAACAGCGCATGCCAGGCGAATTAAGGCCCGGAATAAAAGGGCGAAACTCCGGTCTCTTGCTCCAGCAAACCCAGTTCAGGGGCGATAGAGACCGTGGAGACTTGATTAAGTTCGAAAAAGAGGAGAGAAGCGAGCTTCCCCGCGATAAGGGGTCTAGCAGAAGCCGGTCACAGTGCATGTAGGCGACCGTTCATCGAAGATGGCGTCCTGCCCCAGATCCCCGGACCCGAGCGACGCAGGTTCCTCTGGGCCGTTAAAACGAGCGGAACCGCGCACCACTTCAAGCGTATCTCAAAAGGCTATGCACAGCTCTCAGCACCCGGGAGGAGGGGGACTGCGCCCTATCGCCGGTGCCGATCCTCGGGGCGCAGGAGCGTGCACCCGCCCGCAGAGTCGCGCACCCGGCCAGCCGCCTGCACCGTGGACAAGAAGAGGATAAGAAGCCGCGGCAGAGGTGCTTAGAAGCAGCCCGCTTACTGCACCGGTGCTGCTTCATGCGTATCGTTAAAATACAAAAAAAGAAGCGTGAGTAGCTGATAAGCAGCGTACAGTGCAGGAAAGCAGAGACGCTTTAAATGCGCGCACGGAGCGGAGCCTCACGGGGTCCCTGGACCTGGGGCGCGCTCGGGGCATGCGGATCAAACAGCCTAAAGATGCGCATGTGGGGTACAACGCGGATCGGAAGCGGCAGTGCTAAGATCAACTCGTTTATGGGACTCTGCCCCCCCGACTCGGCGTGCAGGTCATGTGCATAATGAAACCTCCAGCGAACCCGAATCCTAAACCCCGAACCCGACACCGGAGCGCTCTTGCGCCTGTCCGGCAGGCAGCCGCCGGCGTGCTCTCTCACCCCAAGCCAAGGGCAGCAGCCGGCCAGCAAGAACTATTTAAAAGCGAGCTCCCTTACGTCTGAAGGCGTCCGATTCCGTAGCTCCAAATGAATCCTCTTCTTCATGTCCATGTTGGAGCGGCTGCCCTGCTCTGCTGTACTTTAGGCCGGTGGGGACGCAGTCAGAGCCGCGGGTATCTGAACACGGTAGCCGACTCTCCGACACTGCCAGGGCTCAGCCTAAACTCATTCCGCCCGAGGCGGGAAAGCATGGCTGGATTGGCGTCATCAATGGCCAATCAGAAGCGCCGAAGAGCAACTAAAACACGCCTAGCAGCTCTACAGTGAAGGGACAACAGAAAAAAAACAAGTTCGGTTGACCCGCGAATGCTATGTATTTGTCACATTTGCGATTATTCCCCATTACTAGCTAGTTGATTAATCATTCTGAAAACTGAAGCCAAAAAAGCAATGGCTAAATTGTGGCTAAATAATAAACAAAAACATTTTGCTTGATATAGCACTTTTGAGCTGTTTTACATTAGATATCATCCTGAGTTCAAATGTCTGACAGCTGAATTATACTTTTCGCTGTAAAAAATAAACACATGAAGGATAATAGACGTAATAAAAAGGGCAATTACATATCTGTTACACAGGCTGTCACATCTCAAGACCAACGATCGTCCTTTTGATGTTAAGTGATCAAAATAAGAAAATAAAAACGTACATCGCAGTTTGGGCGGGGGGTCTTATTGTCCTTTCTGCTTGTCCTACTTTGAAAATTGCGTCCCACCACGTGGCGTTTACAGACGGAGCAAAGGAAGTGTGAAACTGACAGTCAAAACAAACAATGACACGCGTGTTTTATTCCTGTGATCAATGATTTTTAAATCTTACAGGAACCTAATAACTCGACGGTGAAAGCATCCATATAAATTTCTAATTCCACAGAGGACATCAACCAAGCAATCAGAAGAGTTAAACTGTAGTACGGCCGCATATTAAACCCGGCAAGAAGAATAAAGGTACAACGGAAACGCCAACGGTATTAAAATCACTGGCAATTCATCTAAAAACCAAACGTCGAAGGGGACCTCAAACTACTGCGTTTTTACCAAAAGTCAACATTATGCTACCTTAAAATACAAAAAACCTAATATTATAAAACATTATTACAAAGATACAAAACAGCATGTTTCAAAATGGTATGAGAATGCTTGTCATTGTACAGTATCATGTTATGACACTAATGTTTGCGCATTTAAGCAAAACGCATTTCCTCATTGACGTGGATGGCGATTGGCCGCCACTTGCCTGTCCTTGCATTTAAACCCAGTGTGCGCCACCGTGGACCATTTATATGAATGCAGTATCTGTCAAACACCCACAACCGAGGTTTTGTGATATATACACATGAAGGTTATTGTGTTGAACGATGGGTATATAACCAACGTGCATTAAAATGGATTGGGCAGAATATTAACCAATTATATGTCACATTACATGTTCTGCAGAATTAAATGCGAATCAAACATTGAAGCAAAGATCAGCTCCTATGTTAGCATCAGAAACCAACTAGCATTCGGTAAAGAGTCACTATCCAAATGCGCAGATAGTGATGACCACCTCTTCAGGCCAAAGTAAGTCACCCGTAACACCACCATATGTCCGGTTGTTCACAGACCGATTGCCCATTTTCAACCGTTATTTATTAACATATGCATAATATGATGTCCAATAACCATCACTCTAAAGTATAAGCTGTGCTTTGCATAAAGGCAATATGAGGTTTTATACGACTTATATATAACTTGCTTGTCCCACACAAATACATTTTTGCGTACACTAGGCGCCCTCCTGCATGACACCGCCCCAGGAAGCCTACACCACGTGAGCCAGAGTGACAGTCCGATCCGCCAATCGTGTCGCCATATATTAAATTTAACGCGCGCTCACGTGACAGGAATCATCGAATCAAAGCATTTGGACAAAATAAAGAAAACCACTTCCGCTACCCATGAACCGTGAGGCACGTTGAAGGAGAAAAGACGACAAAGTCATCTGACACAGTTTTCGCCATATTAAGTGTTACACAGCACACATATTGAGCAATAAAGCACATTCAGTGTTAATCAAATGCATAAAAAATTAAGTGACATTACCTACTATTCAGGTCATTTCTTTGTGAAGCTCCGCTACCGATTTTAAAGGCACGGAAAGCGAGATCGGCACCTGCATTGCACTTTTATTGTTTTCACAAATGCACCGGTTCGATCTGTTGGCTTGATAGAACCCATTGCATGACGTCTCTTTCGTTTGCTTATAGTTTCTTTTATTTAGTTTCATAACGTCATTTATAGTAGTTGCAGAAAAACGGCTCTTCGTCTGGTATGTCGCCCGCGTCTGCAGGTCTGGTTTGCGTGCAGAGGACCGTTTTCCGCTGGGTGTGTCCCGCTTTCCTGCACTGCTGCAGCTGCTGCAAGCGCCAGACTGCGGGCTGTGTGTGTGTGTGGTGCGCTCATGTACACACAGCACGGCCTCAGGCACGCCACCATGCCATCTCTCTCTCTCTCTCTCTCTCTCTCTCTCTCTCTCTTTCTCTCTTTCTCTAATGCTCAAGATCCTTCTTATCCTATAAAATAAACGAGCAAACATTTAAAAGTAAAAAAAAAACGTGGAAGAAACGAACTTTTTAAATGACTGATTTTTATTATATGAAGACTTTTTTGTTACTTGTACACAGGCTATACAGAGAAGTACAGCATCATAATAATACTATAATGAGCAATTGACAAAAATGACAAAATATAAACTTAAAACTGTATAACTGTATGACTATTACACTGTAACTGTAAATTCTCAAAGAATTTCCCCATTGTGGGATTAATAAAGTCTATCTAATCTATCTATCTAACACCCTGAGACTGCAAATGCATGAAGCAGGGGACACTCTGGATATCACTATGGGCAGTTTATCCGACCATGTTCAGCTGTTTCTCCTGGTGCTGTTGTTGGTTGGGGTGGAGCCTAGCACAGCGGCACCAGGCTGGGGCTCACCCTGGGAGGGACACCAGTCCATCGCAGGCCATATACTGTACATACACACACAGACACAGTCATACACTATGGGCAATATAGAGACACCAACACCTATTAACTGCACGTCTTTGCACTACGGGGGGAACCCACCTGAAACAGAGAGAACTTGCAAATTCCACCAGATAGAGCCAGAAATTTATATTTTACATGACAGGTTTCAAATATAAGCAGTGAACTAACCTACACCTTCTCATAAACCAATAATGATTATATTGATTACAATGATAATCTACTTATTCAGTTATCCACTTGTAACATACTTACCAATTGACAACTTTTTTTGGCAGGGAAAGCATTTTTGCACAGTCAATATTTTCTGATCTTTCATATTTTGTATATAAAAGCATTCTCCATCTACTCTTGAGTGACTGCTTTAGAGGCTTCAGAAAGCTTTATGGATCAGGGATGGCGGACCAGGAGTCTCAGAACTCTGTTTGTAATTACCATTACTCAAAACACACTGCTTTCAAGAGCATCTGCAGTTATTGTGATTTATAAAAAAAACAGTTGATTTCAGCTTTTAATAGATATGACGTTTGTGCTCGTGTTTCATTGTGTAGTACAGGGCAGTGGAGTATTGAAAGAAATCCACATACACATTCCCTGGAAAGAGAATTTGAAAATCATGTTTTGTTTGTCTGTCAAAGGTGAACAGCTCCATCTAGTGGCGCACAGTTTAACGGCACGGAGTGACTGCTTGTTCAGTTTTGTACATGAAAGTTTTGTACATCCTCTCCCCTGTGCCGCTATGTTTATGGTTAAAAGTTTGATTTAATATCTTCTGTATATGACATGTACCTGCACTTAGTATGCCTACACATGCACGGTTTGTAGACCTTGTGTTCTTTTGTATTACTAGATTCACCCTCATACAGTATTGTGCACTGTCTACTTACATAAGTCACTGCTCATACACGACTGTGTGTACTTGTTGCAGTGTGGAGCTGGGGGAACGTTATCTGCCTGTATTCCTCTGTATGCCTGGTCTGACAATAATGTCCTACCTTAGTACCATATTACAACCTCAGATGTCAAATTAATCATTCAGACTGCCCATTCACACCTGGATAAACATTAAATAATTCATTCATTCATTCATTCATTCATATTCTATGCCATTTGTCCTACAGTATGTAGGGTCAGGGAATACCCCTAGACAGGGCGCCAAACCATCGCAAGGCACACACACCACTCACACATACTGGGACAAATTTGGCAACTGCAATTTATCTTAGTGTGTTTTGGGACTATAAGTGGAAACCGGAGAACCCGGGATCAAACCCTGATCTCCAGAGGTGTGAAACAACGGCACTAACCCAGATAAACAGGCAGAAGAAAAAGCTTGTCAAACACGTGTAGCAGTCCTCTCTACCACAAGAGGGCGATGCAGTCTTCAGAAAACAAGATTAGGCATATAATGGCACAATTACATTGTTAGCTTTAATAGCTTTATTTAATATCTTTATTATCATGCCTGGATGTGCCAGTGTAGCTTTTTTATTGAATAAAATGAAACCAAAGAGTCCATCTCTGTGGCCATATCTAGATGTAAACCATCTGTCCTCCAACCGTGTGTCCTGGTCAGGGTCACAGTGGCCTGTTTATTGCAGGCCAGATGCATTGTGGGCAGTTTAGAGGCACTGGGTGGTCTGACTGTATGATCTTCCACTATGGGAGAAGTTGGAGGACCTGTGCAGCACAGGGAGACCATGCAAACTCCACACAAAGTGGAGGCGGAATCCAAATTCCAAAGCACCAAACCCATTGGCATGAAGCAAACTTGATAGCCTCTCAGGCAACTAAGTGAAATCCACATGAAGGACATTCTGAGTCCCCAAGAAAAGCCAGGGTGGGCATCAAATCCACAACCTTGGGGGTTTGAAGTCACAGTGTTACCAACTGGGCCACTGTGCTACACTGGACAGAACTATGACCATATGGGTCTTTAATAAACCAAAAAATCCACATAAGCTGCAAAGGGTTACATTTTTATTGATGGTTACATGCCAGAATAGAGAAAATTGAAATGATTAACAGTAAGATTATAGTGATTCTGTAATAATTCTCAGGAGAATCATAAACAGGAGAATTACAGCTGTACTCAAGCATAATGATCTCACATGTAGTAAGTGATTATTTACCAAATTTAAATTTAGATGACATAAAGGAAAGTTTTATTAATATACAGAATAAGAGTAAAAGAAGAGAAAGGAGAAAGGCAAAAACAATATAAGATTTGCCGACACAAATAAAACACTCTTCATTTTTACAACGTAGTATGTTCCAGTCCAGGAATGACAGACTCAGTTGAGGGCATGATGCTGTGTCTTGCTTATCGCCGCCGTCGCCGCCGTTTCAGCTTGCCTGTGCCACACTCCTCGACGTAACACCCGCACGCCTCGACGTGGACGTAGGAATGCGTGACCTTGCTGCCGTCGGGGCACTGCATCTCCACCTGCCGCTGGCTGCTCTCCAGCTCCCGACAGCAGGAACACGAGTGTGTCATGGAGTTGGCCTCTGCGGAGTACCTGCAGCCGAGGGCACAGAGGAGGGGGTCACTGGGCAGCTGCTGCAAATACTGGTGCTTTTGGGACACAGCGGGAAATCAATAGTGGGGATGTCACCAAAAAAAAAAGGTGACAGTGTGAGACCATGATAACCCATAAGCCTCAGCGCTTGGAAAGTGCAAGCACAACGCCTCTGCAAGATAAACGGGTTTTGGGTAAACTCACATGGAGCTGGTCACACAGGAACCAATACAGGAAGTCATCTCCACTGGAACGGTGGACTGGCATCCTTCATGGACCAGGTAGGTGATGTTCTTCTGCATTATGCAGTTTTTGCTTGGAGTACCTTGAGGTAGAAAAGACAGTGATGCATCCTACCAGTTAAGTCAAGCAGTTATGACCTGGATTTTGAGCCAAAAAGCCACAGTGAACTCAAACTTTTGTTATTAGTCCCATTAAATATGACTTTATAAATAGTGTAACCCTGCTGTATGTCAACCCAGCGTAATACTGAAAGCTTGTGAAATTTCAAAAATAAATATAAACCCTGAACAAAATAAATATTATTTTAATAACACAACTGTAATAAAAGGTGCCCCAGGGGTTTGAGTTGTGTTGTGCAAGCAGTGCTTGAGGTAAATACTGAGTACTGGCGTCACTTACAGGTTTTGCAGCAGCCGCTGGCGTCCGTTTCCTCGGTGCCCTGGAGTGAAACCACGCAGTGTTTACATTTGTGCTGATTTTCCAACAGTCGTTAATAAAGCAAATATTGTAAAACGTAAGATGCGGTTTGTCACAAGTTCAAAGACATGCAGAGAATCAATATTCTTATCTTTGGCATGACGCGAGTTAAACTTTCCTGTTTTTTTAATAACTTGATCGATTTCTAACATGGCACCAATCGCTAGATCGTAAATGGCCAATATTTTGGGCCATAATCAGAGATTTGCAGTGATGGCCAAATGAAGCTTCATGAACCATTTGCTGTATTTTGTTAACCCTCCTGGAAGGTGCTCTTGGTTTGCTCTTGGTCAACCATAAGTAAATAAGGCCCAAGTGAAAATGAACAGAGTTGCCTTAATTTCAGGAACAGGCAGCTACCTGATACAATGACAACACAGGATATAAGCTGCTGCTGAAATACTTACTTCCTCACAGGTCTCTGGGTAAAATGGAGGACAGATGCTTCTCTCCCCCACCACTACTAGTTGGTCGTCAATTTTTTCACAGTTGTACGTCACACACTTGTCATTTGGTGGGGACCAAGTCTCATTAAGCTGGAAGGAAAAATGGGAGTCACTGTCATACTGGTTTCTAGGGTACAGGATAGTGTGCATTATATTGGGTATTCAGTATTAATTTATTCTGACTGATCTCATAGTAAGCTCTGTAATCCAATGTACATTTTCACATTTGAACAGTGTGCGTACAGTTTTAATGTTCTAGAATTTCAGCATTATAAGATCATGTTAAAAATGTGAGTTAGTGTGAAGGACCCGCTGTTCACCTGAATGGTGTGTGTGGTGTCATCATCCAGCGAGACGATGCAGCTCGTCTGCACGCACTTCCCGCAGCACTGCCCGACCACATCTTGGTACTCAAAGCCCTGCGAAGATACAGAACTGTTGGCCTTATAATACCCGGAACATGACACTGAGCTGCAGACAGGCAGGAGCAAAGACACACTTGGGGTCCTGAAGGATGAGAGCTGCCATAGAATCACAGCTCTCAGACATTGTAAGAGCACACAGAAAGGCATGCAAGCTGATGCGATTAAACTTCATTAATAAGCAAGATATTCTGATGATTTACAGTAAAGGTCAAACAACCAGATGGCATCTGGACAACATCTAAGTATGATTATATAGATTGGCTAGGTACAAAGGGGCAACATCAATAACTTTATGGGGAATTCTTGAAGATGTGCATGCATTTCAGTGTTAGCCTCAGATGGTAGTTTTCCTGCAAGAATATAAACAAACATGAAGTGTGACAATGCATTATAGCAACAGCAAAAACTAATTAAAATCTAAACTCACCAAAGAAAGCTATATGGTGTGTCAGATACTGACCAGAAGTACATAAATAAATTCATTAATGGGAAAAATAAATCACGTTCAATATGCTTATTTCAGAATGTATTAATTGAGACATTTATCTAATACCCTGTTTACGCAGTTAAATTATTTTTTGTATATTTAGAATCTGCTACTGCGATGTGTTACAAGGTGACTCACTGGTGTCCAGCTTCTGATGTTTTCATGCATTATTCTAATGAAACAACACGAGTGCTTCCCTCACGCCGGTCTGCTGCAAAGCACCGAGCATCACATGCGCACGGGGCCATTTTAAGGTACCTCCTGACAGAAGTCATCACATTCGATGGGAGAACATTCCACGGCATTCAGACGAGTCTCGGGATCCACGGCGGAGCTGCAGCTGCAGACCTCACACGTGTCCGTGGGGATTCGGTCACCAATCTAGAGGTGGGGCAAAGCAGAACATGTTCAGTGACCTCAGGGCAAAGAGAGGAAATGCAGAAACGCAGCTTCAGAAAGCGAAGCCCTTGTCTGTGAGGATCAAGCAACATGTTCTTGCTGAAGTGCTTTTTTGTAAATAGCAGGGTAGCCCAAGTTTATCTGACATGGATGGTTCATGATCAGCAGGGGTGTTACTGCGTGGGCCCCCCTAACAGTCACTACAGTAGCCTCCCCCCCTATCCATGTGCGATGTGTTGCCCTGATAGTGAATCATCTGCAGACTCCATATATACAGTGATTTTTGTGTACATACATAGAGTAAAGTTTCATTGATAAATTATGCACTGTAAAACATTACTAACATTAGATACAATAATAATAAGGGATTCTTCCAAGGTATAAATGGTGTCATTAGGTTGGTACTGAGACTGAGTCTGTAATGTCAGGTAGGCCAAAGGGGGGGCAAGTTAGAAGAGATGAGCTAGAGCAGCGGGTAACATCATACATAGAACTAAGAAAGTGTTCTGCCTCATCATCGCCAACAGGACTGTACAGTGCAATGGTGTTTTATGAAGTTCATAGGTTGTCACCTGGTATGGTATGCCATTGTAGATGCAGATGTCTGTAGGAACTGTGAGCAAAACAAAATAACAGTTAGAAAGAAGAAAGAGACACTACTCTGGACATTACTACTCAAAAGCACAGCCTATCTTCATTGTCACGCCAACCGCAAACTTTAGTCTCCAGCCAATAAGCATCAGTGATCACCCTGGGCTGAATACTGATTGGATTAGCCAGTTACCTGATTGTTTTGTACCTATGCTGTAATACCAGTTTATAGTGATGATCAAATTAAGCTTTATGGACTGTTTGTTGTATTTTCTGGCCCCACTAGATGGTGGTCTCTGTTCAAAAAAGGTCTCAAAGCATGCCGCACATCAACCCAAGAGCGCCATCTAGTGGGATTAAAAATACTGCAAAGGGTTCATGAAGCCTCCTTTGGCCATCACTACCAGTTTGGCTGCTTTTTGACTTTTGCTGTAAATTCCTGGCTCTTGCCATGTCTTGCATTTGGATTTTCTTGTGCATGACACTTTTCTTGAGTTCTCGTTCTATGATTTTGGCATTTGAAATTAAACTGCGGTATGAGTGACACTCATAACTGTATCGGTTCTTAAGTGCTTCATGCAGTTTAAGGAAAACAAACCTGCACTTAACATGCACAAATGGCAGTACCGCTATGATTACAATGAGGTTGGCATTCCCCTGAAAAACACTTAGATAAGACAAACGTTAGAGGAGCTTACCACAGGTGTAGCTAGGGCAACAGCTATCATTTGCGATGGTCACCTGTGTTTGGAATCCCAATGGGCAGGTCTGATTTGCTGCCTGGCAAAGCTTCAGGTCACATTCTGCACAGAAGAGGAGCAACAAGGGAGTGATTTAAAACAAAAAGTCAAGACATGCAATAAACAACCAGAAACCTTTATCAGGTCCCACTTACAAAGAAACTATTCTATTGAGTATAAAAGGACAAAAATGCAAACTGTTCAGGCCATTGGTTAATTGCCTGTCTTTGGGGACAACATACTGTACATATGTAATATATATACAGCGGCGCTGATTAACAGCACTCAAACCATGCATTTGTGTGGGGTTTCTTGTTGGCCACAAACAACCACTACATTAAATATTGAATAAATCTGGGGGGGCAGAAACAGCAAACCCGTGCCTGAATATATGATTATTCCCCCGTCATTCACCCAACACACACTCACCGCATGTATTCTGCGGACAGCAGTCCTGCGTGTCCATCACCACCGCCTGGCCCTCCTTCTCGCAGGTGACGTCTGCAGGGGGCGGGCACTCGGGGGGGCGGCACTGCACGCTCATCGAGTCCCCGTCACACTCGCACTCAAGGCAGCCGCTCTGCCAAGTCTCTCCCGGCTGTAAAGGGAGAAGCGAGAGGGGAGTCATCCTAAACGCCGGAGCGCTGAGAAGCTGGAAGCTGGGGGTCCCGGACCCCCCTGCCGATCCTCACCATCCTGGGCATGCCGTCGGGTCCCGTGCAGCCTGAAGGGACAGAGACACCCTGTAAGACTTCCTTCCAGTCGTGGTGTAAAACTGACAATGCAAGACGATTTTTCTGGACAAGAATTAGCAGCACTGTTGCAATGTCGTCCTTTCACTTGTTATCACGAAGGAAGCCTCACCGCAAGAACTGACGCAGGTGTCGGAGAAAGAGGTGAATAAGACCGTCCCCTTGGGACAGAAGCACCCCTCTTTGGTCACGTTGCTGCTACCCGGCTGGTTATCCAGAATATTCTGATACTTCTTGTTGTATCTTTGTGGAACACAAACAGTTTTGGAACACAAAATCGTATCAGATCATTTTGATGACATATTTTTAAAAGTGCCTACACAGAAGCAACAACAAGGATTTTATCACATTTTGACCTGTATCTGTTTGATTTATTATTTGTATATTTTAGGAAGAGAAGGTCCTTACTTTGTGTTACATGTGGCCTGTATAACAGGACCACACGGCTGGTAAACCTTTGTGTCTGGGCAGTTGTATTCTACACACAGAAGAGAAATGAACAACGGCTTCAGGTTACAGCTGGGAAAAATTATTTGGAAGTTTAAACAATCTAGTCACAGCGAAAATTGTACATTTAGAGCAATAGGGGACTTTCGTTTTTGAAAAAACTAAAGCCACATCCACCTGCCAGATTAAAAGATCCCACCTACCACACTGGCCATTGGTGATATTCCTCCAGTCAATGCAGATCCCGGCACTGGCACATATAGACGCGTACATCTCCAGGCTGTTGCAGCCAATCGTGTGCTCAGCCATATGACAGACGTCGAATCTGCAGGCCTCGTAAACAGCGTCCACCGGGAATGCTTTGTGGCACTCTTCAAAAATGCTGCATTACAGGAAGATGGGGCCAGGAAACATTTAATAGGAGGAGAAGCTAAACTGCTTAAACATAAGTAAATATAACTAATAGCACTGATAATGTGTCTAACAAGCAACAGCTGTAGCGGAACATAAAGAGATACGGACATTTGTATTTTCACGAGACATAAAATTACAGTATTTTGGCATGACAGACACTCACTCATTATATAGAAATGCACAGATTTCTGGTTTGCAGGCAGTCGTAGAGCTCAGGGGTGCAGTTGTGGGTCTAAGGCTTGTTTTACTTGCAGGTTGTTTGGTTGTTGTAGGTGGAGGTTGAGTTGGAGGCTTGCAGTAGGGTTTGTCTTCGTCAGCATAATACCACTGGGATGCCATATCTGAGCATGACGGGTGGATCTGGCCATTTGGAAGTCGGCAGTCATTAGCCCTGTTGTTGTCACACAGTCCTTCAAACAAATTGTAAAATAAAAAATGAAACAATACAATGTTATAACTTTAGTCGCGACACAGCCTATTCATGAGAATTTTGGGAAAAAATACCAGCTGTATTGCTGTGCCAGTGTTTGAAATGGTAAAACTTAATTTTTTTTTCCCAAAAGAGTAAACAGGAAGAACAAAGTGGTACCATACTACAATGTGTAGACAACATTTACATTTTCCATTATTGAGAAGATGTTTTCATCAAAAGTGATGTACATTTGAGAATGTAGGGTCAGACAGTCTCTGGAGTAATTGGGGCTTAAAGGCCAAACTCAGGGGTCCGACTGTGACATCAATCTGCTGACGCTGACTGTGACATCACTCTGCTGATGCTGACTGTGACATCACTCTGCTGACGCTGACTGTGACATCACTCTGCTGACGCTGACACATGCCACTAAAGGAGTTGCCCACTCAAAGATTAATGTGTAGTGGAAGAGTTTAATCTAATATCTGGAGTAATTCAAGAACAAGTCATTAAAACAGTTATCTGAAAACCTTTCCAACCCCAAGGCCTTGCAATTCATCATTTACCATTATTCTGCCTGGGGGGTGTCCCCCTTGGTAACTTCAATGACCTGGGGTGGGGGGGATTGGGCAATTAGCTAAGGTGTTATTGTATTTCGCCCATAATCCCAGGCAGGTTCCCTGCCACAGTTCCATGGCCCAGCACAGTACACTTGTGTCCCACCCATTTACCACGGATCGGGGGTTCAGAATCCCGAGTTCAGATGGTTGACAGCTTTCTAACAGCTCATTGTATTAGGAATATACTAAATGTAAACGAGGATGATTATCACCTGATAAAATCACCTGAATATTGTGTATTGGCTTTGCTTACCACAATGTCCCTCCGTGTTACCAAAGAAGTGGGAATATGCTAATTTCACGCCAAATAGCATGCCACCGAACATGACCTGAGCTTGGATTTCAGGCACTGCAACAGATATCTGGATTCCAGTGTTTGTAATGATGATGTCACCATTTGAGAAAGGTGGGAAAACTGTCTTATTGTTGATCTCCACCTAAAATATAGTATAAAATACAATTAATCGTCAACCTACAGAACAACTCTTGTCATGGCAGCTACTGTGAAGCATTTATCAACATCCAGAATCTAAGTGACAGCATTTAAGATGTGTATGTTTTTTTATGCGTCTTTCACTGATCCACCTTCTGAAATCCTTAAGCATTAATTAGCAATAGGATATGTGATTTGACAGATCTGAATAGTTTCAGTATGACACAGGGAATCATGGGCATCCTTAAGTCCAATAACTCAGGGCTGTATTTTAAGCAGAGCCCTGAGTATTTTAGCCCTGATGCCAATCTTCTTTCAAAAACGAAAAAAGTCAAGCTCCTGCAAAACTTGATGTAGCCCCTGATCTTTTCAATAACTAGAAACTCCCCTGCAGGGGACCAAATGCATGTCACACCACCAGCACTAAGCTATACTGGGATCCACCTCATGTCACTGGTGTTATTCAAAAAATAGTATTTATATTTACCTCAACCTTTGTTGTTTCAGCAGTTCTTTTTGCGGTAAGAGTGACTTCATAAGACTTGTAATACACAGTCAATGACTGAGGGCAGGATAGACCATCATGAGCATTGCAATAGTAGTTATCAATGATGACACGGAAGTTGTACTTTGGAATGATCTCCTGAACTAACACGTATGTGCAATTTTCTTGGAAAGCGTAGTATGTTCCGTCAAACGTCAGATAGTGAGGGTCTCCCCATCCGTAGCATTCACCTGCATATTTACAAGAGTCAAGACAATCATTTAGGCACAAATTTCAAAGGAAATACCTGTATGTAGTTATAGGAAAATATAACTATGACTATGCAACTAATTCATTTTAAATAATTTAATAAAGAATTCTTAAAATCTAAAAATAAACTGAGTAAAGGTAAGATTTTCCAATAAATATTCCAGAACTTACATTGGCACTGATACTGAAAGCAGCATCCAGAGTCATCATAGATCTTAACTGGAGGATAGTTGTTTACACACACAGGTTGAACTGCAGCTGGACACTGGACAGGCTTTGAGGTTGTTTTACCATTAATGCATGTTTGTATGGTGCAATTCCCAGCATTCCAAGATTCTCCATTCTAAAACATTAATAATTTGAACATCAATATAACAATTTGCATTTAGCAGTGTGTTTGCAAGTGTGTGTGTGTGTGTACACACCCACTAACACACACACAATGCAATTTACAATTGTCATATTTACCTTTCTTGGGGGATGAAGGTTGGTACAGTCTGGATTAAATTTTGTGGTTGGGCTGCTGGTACCTTTTGTGGACCTAGTAGTCGAGGACGTATGTGGAGAGACATGGGTTGTGGTAGTATGCTCCGACAGTGTTGTTGATTTAGTTACAGTGGGTGTAGGAACAGGTGTTGATGTACTGGTGTGACAAGGCCTCGCCTGTTTTTGTATGTGACAGTCCGTATCACAGACAGCAGAGAAACACCATCCAGCACCATCAGTCTTGTTGTA